GCAAATTATTCCTTGAAAAAAGGCACCCTCAGCAAAACAGTGTGTGGTGGGCAGTTCCCCCACATGGATGCACTCCAAAGTGTTTCTGGTATTGCCCGGGGTTTTCTGTCCCTTCTTTATATATATACTAGAGGCCTGGTGCACTAAATTCGTGCACAAGGGTGGGGGGGGAGGGGTCTCTCAGCCCAGCCTGAACCCTCGGGGGATGTCCAACTGCTGGTTTAGGCCCGATCCCTCTCGCAATCTAGGACACTGCATGCACCAGTGACCATACTTTTTATACAGGCGAAAGGCATCTTGCTGTTGTATGGGCAGCTACATTTTTTTGCCCTGATTATAGAAAGTAGTACAAACATGATCCTTCTGAGGCAGTAGTACCATTTTCCCCATCTTAGGGGTGGAAAAACTGAAGCAGAGAGAAGTTAAGTAATTGGCTTTGTGACACAGTTATAAGTGTCATAATCAGGGCTGGTCACAAAATGTGCAAACCAGAGTCCATGCGTGTCATCGCTGTTTTTTCAGTATTAGAGTAGCCTTGCCAAGTTTTAATTTTTAAATCTAAGAGACTGTTCCCAATATATAGGGTAGGGTGCCTAGGCCTGGCCAGCGATAAGGGCCAATTGCTGGTGGTGACCAGCAGGCGGGGTGATAAGGGGGCGGGGGGCCTCGCTGGCACTTGCCTTGGCTGGCAGCCTGGCCCCGCCTGCTGGCCAGCCCCACCCCCTGATCACCACCAGCAGTCAACTCCCTCTCAGGGGCCAGTGCGAGTCATAGTGACCAGTTGTTCTGCCATTTGGTCAATTTGCATATTAGGGTTTTATTATATAGGACTAGAGGCCTGGTTAAATCTGTGCACAGGTAGGGTCCCTAGGCCTGGCCAGCGATCAGAGCCGATCAGGGCCTTCTGGCTGCCGGCCGGGGCCTTCCTTCATTCCGCGCCCTGGTGGTCAGGTCGAATTCCCAAGGGAACAATTTGCATATCAGTCTTTTATATGTATAGATAGATAATTTATTGGGATGACACTGGTCATCATGAACATATAGGTTTCAGGCATGGGTTTCTATGTTACAAGGTCTGTATATTGCCCTGTGTGTCCACCACCCAAAGTCAATTCTTCTCCTGTCTCCTTATATCAGGACCCCTTCTCCGCACACTCCCTTGCCTCTGGCAACCACCACACTGCTGTTTGCTTTTACAACTTTCAGTTTTATATCCCACATGTGAGTGAAATCATATGGTTCTTAGCTTTTTCTGACTAACTTATTTCACTTAACACAATGTTCTCAAGGTCCATCCATGCTGTTGCAAGTGGCACTATTTCATCCCTTCTTATGGCTGAGTAGTATTCCATGTGTTTATGTACCACATCTTCTTTATCCAGTCCTCTATTGAGGAATGCTTTGGTTGTTTCATGTCTTGGCCACCATGAATAATGCGGCAATGAACATAGGGGTGCATATATCTTTGCAAATACATGATTTTGAGGTTTTAGAATGTATACCCAGGAGAGGAATTGCTGGATCGTATGGTAGCTCTATTCTCAATTTTTTGAGGAGTCACCAGACTGCTTTCCATAGTGGCTGTACCAGTCTACACTCCCACGAGCAGCGGATGAGGGTTCCCCTTTTCTCCACAGCCTCTCCAACACTTGTCATTGCTTGTCTTGTTGATAATGGCCACTCTAACAGGTGTGAGGTGGTAGCTCACTGTAGTTTTGATTTGCATTTCCCTGATTGCCAGTGAGGTTAAACATCTTTTCATGTATCTATTGGCTGTTCGTATGTCTTCTTGAGAGAGGTGTATTTTCAGGTCCTCTGCCCACTTTTTGATTGGGCTGTTTGTTTGTTTGGTGTTGAGTTTTATGAGTTCTTTATGTGTTTTGGAAATTAAACCTTTGTCGGAGCTACTGCTTGCAAATATCACCTCCAGTTTGGTCAGCTGCCTGTTTGTTTTGTTGTCAGTATCTTTTGCTGTGCAGAAGCTTTTCAGTTTGATTTAGTCCCATTCATTTTTGTCTTTACTCCCCTTGCCTTTGGGGTCAAGTTCATAATGTTCTCTGTGACCAAGGTCCTTAAATTTGGTACCTATATTATTCTTCTATGTAATTTATTGTTTTGGGTCTTATATTTAGGTCTTTGATCCATTTTGAATTAATTTTTGTACTTGGGGACAAACTGTAATCCAGTTTCATTTGTTTGCATGTGGTTTTCCAGTTTTCCCAGCACCATTTATTGAAGAGAGTATCTTTATTCCATTGTGTGTTTCTGGCTCCTTTGTCAAAAATTATCTGTCTACATACATGTGGTTTTATAGCTGGGCTCTCTATTCTGTTCCATGGATCTGTGTGTCTGTTTCTCTGTCAATACCATGCTGTTTTGATTATCATAGCTCTGTAGTATAATTTGAAATCAGGTAGTGTGATAACTCCAGCTTCGTTCTTTATTATCAGCATTGCTTTGGTTATTCAGGGTCTTTTGTGGTTCCATACAAATCTGATAATTTCTCATTCTAATTTTTGAATTTCTTTAAAAAATGACATTGGGATTTTAATGGGGATTTCATTAAATCTGTAGCCAACCCCTCATTCACTGTAAACTGAAAAGGTGCTTTTCTCAACCTGTGCCTCCTGGAACAATAGTCTGCAAGGGCATTTTGAAATCAGAAACAAAATGAACTTTTCCTTCATTCTTGTTGTTTTAGACCATGTGCATGAACAAGGCTGGCACTGCCCAACAGGGTGAAAGGGGAGGAGGAATGTGTGTATGTGCACACCACAGGGCCATCTGGTCTACCTGGTTTATGTCACCAAGGCCAGGGGTTGGCTAGTTCAAGGCCACGGCTACTTGTGGTGAAACCTCAGGCCACTGCTCACATTCCTCCCGCCGCTCCCTCTTCTCCTGCTGCACCCTCCCCCTTCTCTCCAGACACAGCTCATGCCAGCACAGCCTGGCCCTGTGAAATCACCAGCTCCCGGCTCCCTGGTGTCTGGGGCCACTTGCCTAGTGTCTTGTGTGGCTGCCAAGAGCTGGTTCTGTTCTCTCATTGAGCCCATTCACTTGCCCTGGCTGCTGCCCATGAAGAATCAAAGGCATTGTCCCTCTCAGAGGCGACAGCCGCCCTGAACAAAGTCTTTAAGGACCAGAAGAGGGAGGGAAAGCCTTCTCAGGAGAACACAAGGGGAACCCGTCCGTCCTTCTGGGCCGTCGGAAAGGCCCCTAATTGGGGCAGATCTGCTTCCTTTGCCTGGAGAGGAGGCGCAGGCCTCCCTGTGTTTCTGGGAGCTTTCCCACCCGCCAGCCTGAACGCGAGTGTCCTGACTCCACATGCTAAATCCTTTAGCCAGGATTAAACAAGGATAATTTGAAGTCAGGTAGCGATGAAAAGACTGAGGGTCAAGCTCTGCTCTTCTCTGAGCGCCTCCGGCCTGGGGCTACCTGCACTTGACTCTCGATGCTTATTGCACGGTATTGTCGACTTGGGTTTGGATTTTGTTTTTGTCACATTTTCCCCAACCAGATCATAATGTGGGACTCTCTGATTCAGCATAACATGCTCCCCACTCCACGCCTCTGCTTGCTGATCAGACACGGGTAGAAATAAATTGCTCTATTTAAGAGTAATGGGGGCCCTGGCTGGGTGGCTCAGTTGGTTGGAGCGTTGTTCTGTACACCAAAAGATTGTGGGTTCGATTCCCAGTCAGGGCACATAACTAGGTTGTGGGTTCAATCCCCGGTCCAGGTGCATATTGGAAACAACCAATCGTCGATGCTTCTCTTAAGATAAGTAAAAATAGCCCTAGCCGGTTTGGCTCCGTGGATGGAGTGTCAACCTGTGGACCAAAGGGTCCCGGGTTCAATTCCAGTCAAGGATACGTACCTCGGTTGCAGGCTCCTCCCCGGCCTGGGCCCTGGTCAGGGCTTGTGCAGGAGGCAACCAATCGATGCGTTTCTCTCACATCAATGTTTCTCTGTCTTTCCCTCTCTTCCACTCTCTCTAAAAATCAATGGAAAAATACCCTTGGGTGAGGATTTAAAAAATAATAATAATAAAATAAAGAAATAAATATCCTCAGGTAAGGATTTTTTAAAAAGTAATGGGGGATTGTGTCTGCATTTCTCTATTTTCCTCTTTATTTGTGAATTATTAGACCAATATTTTTAAAAAGAATTTACCTATATTATTTTTGCCAGCCCCACAATCCTTTTATAAGATAGCCATACATACACACACACACACACACACACACACACACTGGTAAGTAGGCTGAGTCCCCTGTCGGTTGGCCGCGGCTACCTTCCTGGCGGATGCTGGAGAGAAGCCCCCCGGGGAAGCCCATGGTGGGAAGCCCACCCTCTCCTCCCCGCGCCCATCACGCACCCAGGGCTGGTGTGGCGTCTGTGTGCTTTCTCTTGGCGATGTCCTGTTGAATCCTGGCTAAAGGATTTCGCATGTGGAGTCAGGACACTCGAGTTCAGGTGTGACCTCTGCCATTTGCCCCCTAAATGACCTGGGATAAGTAACGTCTCCAGTCACCCATGTCCTCACCTGAAACGTGGGTGTAACCCTGCTGCCCCCTCCCCTGCGGGTGGCTGCGAGGAGCACGTGGAACAGCGTGTGGAGAGCACTTGGCAAACAGCAAGGCTGTTACTGCCAGACACTGCCCCTCGGAGGCTGTTTCAGGCAGCAGTGACGAGGGGGCGTAGTTTTGGTTCCGGAAGGTTCTTCCCCTGTACCCTAAACACCACACTCCTGATTCACATGTCATTTTACTTGTCCCCTCCCTCACAATCGCCCTTCCCCTGCTGGTCCACAAAGGGCACCTGCTCTGGGAAGGGAGCAGAGAGGAGGCGGGAAGGCCAAGGTGGGGGTCAGGGAAGCATCTTTTGAGCTTGGAAAGGTTTCAGTGAGAGAAGTTCCTCTGAGGGCAGCGAGGAATCCTTCTGTTCCACCTGGAACAGCTTGTTCCCACCCCACCCCCCACCCCCGAGGAAAACTGCTTCGTCTTCCGCAGCCGGGCGTCCAGCGAGGCTCTGTCAGGGCTGCGCTCTTAGCGCCCAGCCTCTCTGTGGTCCTCGGCCGGATCGGGTCGGGATGGTGGCAGCACCGCCTGGGGATAGAGGAGCCAGAGGAGGAGCCTGAGGGGGGAGAGGGTGGGGGGGAGGCCAGCCGCTGAGTCCAGGTCTCTTCAGCTGTTTCCACTTGAGATGTTGACGTTCTGTACCCAAAGGACGAGCAAGGAGGGGCCTGCCCACTCTGAATGGTCCCTGCAGGGTGAGGGGGAGGCCTGTCCTGGAGCAGAGGGAGCCTGTCCTGGGAGCCCGGACCCTGCCTCTGAGCCCCTCTTCGTCTCCTCCGCAGACAGACCTGCACGGAGCAGGGCAGCTGGGGCCTGGCAGGGGCAGCAGGCTCCTGCTCTCACCGCGTCAGCCAGCCTCTTGCTCGGAAGCAGAACGGTGGCCTGAAAACAGTAATTTTCTGAACAGATAACAAAGGCTGAAAAGTAGAAAAGGGCATGCGACAGACGTCTCTCCTGCCGGCTGCTCCACTGCCTGGTGACAGCGTTTCCAGATCCTTCCAGAGGCACTCTGGGCGCATGCAGACAGGCAGAGTGTGTGCGCGTGCATGCGCGTGCATGCGTGTGCATGTGTGTGAGCGTGCATGTGTGTGTGAGCGTGTGCACGTGCGCGCGTGTGCGTGCGTGTGTGTGTGCGCGCGCGCATGTGTGCGTGTGTGTGCATGTGTGCTGCGTGCTTATGTGTGCGTGTGTGCACGTGCGTGTGCTTGTGTGCGTGCGTGCGTGCGTGCGTGTGCGTGTGTGTTCTTCCCTTTCGGTACTGTTCTACACAGATGGCTGTGCAGTTCGCTTTTTCACCCCCCACTCCGTCGCAGAGATGAGAAGACTGAGGGGCTCGCACACCGATCCAAACTCGCGGCTGTCGGTGTGGATGAGCCAGACCTGGTTCACCTCTCCCCGTGGACAGGCAGCCCCGCCTCCGTGTGCTCTCCGAAGCCCGTTCGGCTATCCCACAGCTCTGTCTGCAGACGTCACAGAGTGGGATCACGAGGACGCGTGCACTGATGGTTTCGGTCCATCTTGCCAAAATGCCTCCGCAGAGGAGCCGATATCCTCTGGGCCCGATCATTCCTTCATGGGTGGTTTGAGTGAGGTCACTGGCCCGGTGGAGGGCTGGTTCAGCCTGTGCCCTAAGTTAGGACAGACCTGGGTGCTTTTCGCCATCACCAAGGGGTGCCAGAGCTCGCTGGGCCAGGCCTCCCTGTACATGAAGAACCAAGGCCCAGAGGGGCTCTGCCCTAGGGCTTCTGCAGGCTTTAGGATGTGGTTACCCCTAAACTGCCCGCATCTCAGCCTGCTCTGTTCTGCCCCTCCGTCGGGTCTCCAACGCCACCCCCTCTCCAGAAGGCCCCCAGGAAAGCCTGTGTCCAGTGGCCAGAGCAAGAGTTAGGAGCGTGAACCACAACATTTTCTGCTGGATGTGGCGCTGGGAACTAGCCTGTCCTGGCGTCGCCGACAGCAACCAGGCTGGTGCCCCTGTGAGGACTCGCCCACTGGAAGAATCACTGATGGACAACCCCCACCCCCCCACACACACACACCCCGGGAGCCTGAGGCCAGGGAGGTGCGCAGGCCCCACAGACACCTTCTGGTTCCAGACACCACTCTGGCAGCCCGCACGCTCTGAGCCGGGCTGGCATCTGCATTCCTCGCCCTTCTCTGGGCGTCTCTGGGGAGTGTTGGTGCCACGACGCCGGGGCCTGGCCGGAGGAGGGCTGGGCCCGGGCCAGGTGCCTCCCGTGTTGTCCTGCCTGCTGGACGCTGGTCTCCCCTGAGGAGCTGCCAAGTCATCAGCTTCTTCCTGCTCTCGGTCCTCACCCTCCCCTCTTCAGCCTCCAGCCTCCCCTCGAGGCAGCCCTTGCTTCTCAAGACCTTTGGAAGCATTCGGGGCTTTGCGTGGGAGGCCTTTCATGTCGGAAATTCAGAGACCTGCGGACTCCTGTGGAGCATCCCGTGTCCCACTGCGCCCAGAGGCCAGCCTGGGCTTGGAGGGGAGGTTCCCGGGGTGACCTCGTGGTCTAGGGGGCTCCCTGGGAAAGGCACGCCTCCTTTCACTGGTTACTTCCGAAACGGCCACCCTGGAAACATGCAGCCCCACACTCTCTGGGCACCAGAGGGAGAGGGGATTGGAACTGAGCCTGAGCCTCACCCCTCCCCCTCTCCTGTCTTTGCCCCGGGCTGCCAGCCTTTCCCCAGTACCCCCCCCCCCCCCCGGGCCTGGGCAGGGCCTGGGGGCAGGAAAGCACATCCTGCACATTTGGTGTCATGTTGGACGCCTCGGATGACGGCTGGCTGCCCACAGGTGGAGCTGCTGGGGGACTTCCAGAGAGGGAGGCTCACAGGCCGAGGTCAGGCGACTGGACGAAGTGAGGCCCGAGTGGAGGCCCTGTGGGGAGTAAGGACGGGAGCAGGAGAGGGGACACAGTGCGCGCAGGGACTGGGGACAGGCGTCTGGGGCGTGGCACGGAGTAGCACGGCTGCAGCTTCGTGGCTGACCAGTCCTTGTCTAGGTCAGAAGCAGCAAGTGGGTAGCCTTAGCCGTGTCCGGGGCATCTTTGCTTTTACTCACGTGATTTAAATAGTTTGAATAACACATTTAAAATAAAATGTTCCTTCAGTGACCTGGACGATGTGAGAGACCAGACCCAAATCCCGATTGTTTCTCTTGGAAAACGAAATCAGTATCCGGACACATTCTTGTGTGTCCGTGTCCTGGACCAAACCCAGCAGGAGTGGACGCTCCCAGTTCTGGAGGGCGCCCTCCCTCGGGGCCTCTGGGTCGAATCCTTCCTGGCCTCTCCGGCTTCTGGCACTTGTCATTCTGTGGCTTGTAGATACCGCACCCCAGGGTCTGCCTGTCACCCGCCGCCTTCTCCCCCGGGTGTGGGACTCTGGGTCCTCTCTTCTTACATAGACAGTCGTGGCCTTGAGGTAAGGACCCGCCCTCCTCCAGTCTGATCTCATCTTACCTTGGTGACATCTGCAAAGACGCTATTTCCAAGTAAGGTCACATTCGCAGGGCCTGGGAGTTAGGGCGTCGGCCTCTCTCTTTGGGGGACACAGTTCAACCAGAACACTGGTCTTACGGCAGAGTCAGCGCCATAGCATGATGACCCCCTGCCTGCGCCCCATCCGAGTGGACAACCTCTTACTCCTGGCACGTCACAGCCCGTCTCCCGCCTGCTTCCTCCTGGTTCCTGTCCCTAAACCGTCACCCTGCAAGGCCCTTTCCCAGTCCTGCCTCCGCCCTGAAGTCCCCCCAGCACCTTCGCCGTGAATTCTCACCTGCGGACTCAGGGGCACGTTCGTGCTGTACATTTTGACAGCACCGGCTTGTCCCGTCTGGTCCTTAGCGTACGCTGGCGTGTGATGGCTGCAGCATTGACCGCGGTCCCTGTCAAATACCTTATGAACGTCCCTGTCTTATCTCGGGCAGCCTGGTTCCTCGCCGTGTGCCTGGGCACCGTGCTCTGTAGGGAGGACAGGGGCCAACGGTATTTGACCAAATGGGAGAAAACAGCATCTGGTGTGTGTCCGCGAGAAACCTTTCGCCCAGGCCACTCTGACCCGGCCGAGCACCCTCAGGCAAGGGGGCCGCCACGACCCCCGCTGGATGACGAGGGGATTTCTGGACACGCTCACCTTCAGGGATGAGCCATCGGTGTGTAGAGGCTGGTCCCAGAATTCACAGTTTAATCATCTCATTCTTCCTCTTGAGATTTGGGCTCTTGGAAGTGGGGGAGCCTCGCTCTGCCCCCCCCACCTGCACCCACACCCCCCCCCCCAAGACCTCTAACAGCTCCGTGTGGTTTCCTCCCCAGCTTCCGGCCTCTCCTCCTCGCCATCGACGCCCACCCAAGTGGCCAAGCAGCACTCCTTCCCCCTCGAGTCCTATAAGCAGGAGCCTGAGCGACTGGAAAACCGCATCTATGCCTCGTCCTCCCCTGCGGACACGGGCCAGAGGTTCTGCCCGGCCTCCCACAGCCCGGCCCGGCCTCCGGCAGCGTCCCCCGCTCACTACGCTCCCTCCAGAACCGTAAGTCAGGGCGCGGCGACCGGCCTGGGAGGCAGGGCCCAGTCTGAGTGTGCTCCCCTGGAGCTGGGGCTGCGGCTCCTGACAGCCGTGGGTTATTTATCGGGAATCACAGGCTTCGAGAAAAAGTGGGAGGGCCCAGTGGGCGGATGGAAGGCCCATGACAAGTGGTAACACCTGGAACATGACCAGAACCAGCTCTTTGTTCCCTCTGCTTCTTTAAAAAAAAAAAAAAAAAAGTTTTGCTTGCATTTATCTTGAGTGGGAGACTAACGTGACAAGTTACAGGCAAAGCAAAAAGCAGACACACCGCTTTTAAAAATGGGAATGTGCTTCTAGAGTTTTCTGATATGAATTTGCCGTCGCTGGAGGGGGGCAGCATGCTGAGAGGGGAGCCTGCCTGGTGGAGGGGAGCAGCGTCTCTGCTCCTTCCGAGGAGATCGGCGAGGCTTCCCGGAGGGGCCCCCGCTGCCCCACACGCGGCCCTGCACGTGGGCGCGGGGCTCCGTCCCTCTCGCCTGCCTGGCCGCGGTCCGTACGCAGGTGCTCTGTGCTGGGTCTGTGCTCAGCAAGGACGTACGACCTACCGCTAAGATCGGCCTGTGCAGATACAGCTCTGTTCGGTTGTTTTCCTCTCCTGGGGCTGGCGGGACCTAGAGGCACGAGCTGGGGCCTGATGGCAACAGGAAGCCTGTCTCGGCTCCGGAGGCTGGAAGGCTGGCGTCGGGGCGTTGGCGGACCGAGCCCTCCGAGGTCTCTGGGGCTCACGGTCTCTCCAGCTCCTGTGGCCCCAGGCTTTCCTCGGGCACAGCAGCGTCACTCTGCCCTCTGCCTCCCGCCCACATGGCTTCTTCCCTCCTTGTCTGTCTGTGCCCGGATTTTCCTCTTCTTATAAGGACACCCGTCATATTGGACCGGGGCCCAGCCTGACCCAGTATGACCTCATCTTAGCTTGATGACATCTGCAAAGACCTGACTTCCAAATACAGTCACGTTCGCAGGTGTCGGAGGTTAGGGCTTCAGCATGGCTGTCGGAGGGGCGGAGGGGGGGGGGGGGTGACGACCCGTCCGGAACAGTTATCTGTGGGAGAAAGGAGATGTGCCGTTGTGCAGAGGACATCCTGCGACTCTCCTTGTCCCTCAGTGGCCGCTCTGTTAGCTCTGTGCTCTGCAGGGACTTGTGTGTTTTCAGTGCTGAGGGAAAGGCGAGCTATTGTTCCCACCTTCCAGGGCTGCAGCCTCACCGGGGCAGAATGAGCCTGGGGAAAGGCGAGGCAAACGCAGAAGTAAGTTGGTGGGATATGTAGTGAAGCCAATAGTCTAGTCGTCCTGCAGGAGGGGAAATCGCATCGGCCCAGGGCAGTGGAGGCTCCCAGGCAGAGGTACCCACTGAGCTGGGCCTGAGTCGCTGGTCGGGTTCAGTAAGGGGACAGGGAGAGAGCCTTGTAGGGAAAGATGAGCCACGACATGGGGTAGGAATGAGTGTGACGTGTAGCCCGGAGGAGGAGAGGCCGTGGTGCCGGAGCAGTGGGCAGGGGCCTGTCTGGGCTGTGGGACCTGGTAGCAGACTCGGAGACAGGGAGACCCCTGGAAGGCAGTGACGCCCCCTGGAGCGTGGGCCTAGGAGGAAGGTTGTCAGTGTTCTCGGGTGTGAGTGAGAAAGGGTGGACCGCAGAGGTCTCTGTGTCCCTGTGCATGTAACCAAGAGACGTGGTGATAGAGATGATAGGACACAAAAGCATCCAAGAAAGAAATGAGGAGGCAGCCCAACCGTGATCAGAAACAGGAAGCCATTACCTCCCCCTCCCCCAACCCGCCCCAGGGCCAGGGCACAGGGAGAGGAGGTGCAGAGCCCGTCTGTGGGAAGTGGAACCCCAGGGGGCTGCCTGGCCCGAGCTAGAGCCAGAGCCGGAGCTGGAGCACTGAGGAGAAGCAGCCACTGGCCGGAGCCGCCCTTTGAGGCAGAGGGATGGCTACCCTGGCATCTCCCCCGCTCCTGCCCACCGGCTGTGCCAGACCTACCCCGAGGCCAGCGAGCCAGGAGGCCTGGGACAGACAGAGCCTGTGGGAGCGGGAGCAGGGGGAAGGCCAGGGAAGGGAGCAAAGGGGGGAATGACCCTAGAGAGGATTAAATGCTGTGGGAGACAACGCCTCAAAGTACTGCTGCTTCTCATTGGCTATGATGATGGATAGAACAGCTCTATTTGAAGAGAAAGCAGGGGTGCTTTTGCTAGGTCATTGGACGTGATGGTGACAGGCCCAGACACAGGGCTGTTCCCTATTGCAGAAGTTTTATGCTCGGGCACGCTGCAGTCTTTCCCAGTTGAAATAGAAACGAATCCAGAGAGAGCTCTCAGTCCAGGTCAGCTTTCTGCCATGACTGTGACTAAAGGTGATGTTCTTACCTGTTAATACTTCACACACTGAGGCCAGCGAGCGTGGGTCCTCCCAGGCTCCCCAGGGTGGGTCTGGGCCAGAGAGAAAGCACGCTCAGCTGGGTCCACATTCAGCGATGGGCATGGCCCATGTGCCCGGTCAGGGGCACTGGCAGTACAGTGGGGCTTCAGCAATGATCCCGAGGTCACAAGCGGATAAACGAGATGCGGTCGTTCTATACAGTGAGCCACTCCCAGCCTTCACGGGGAAGGAGATTCTGAGACACGCTACTGTGTGGATGAACCTGAGGACAACATGCCAAGTGACATAAACCGTCACAAAAGGACAGACACTGGGACTCCGCTTCTGTGAGGCCCCTGGAGTCATCAGATCCACAGACAGCAGCAGGGTGGTGGTGCGGGGGCTGGCTGGGGAGGAATGGGGTTAGCGTTTCACGGGGACCGATTCCAGGTTTGCGAGATTACAAACGTTCTGGGATGGTGGTGGGGATGGTTACATGACAGTGAGTGTACTTAATACCACTGAATTGTCCTCTTTTTAAAATGGAAAGTTTTATGTTATGTATGTTATTTTACCACATTTTTTAAAAAATACTCCAATCAAAGCTACAGTGGTTATATAGTTTGAGCCTCAGAAAATCAGGATGATCACTGAGGCTCCCCCTTACGTTGTGAAATGGTATGTTTCAAAATTGGAAGACAGCATTGCCACCAGCTGCCTGACATCAAACAAGGCCTTAATCCACCTGTAAACGTTATCACCCAAGGCCTCCAGGCTGCCTTCTCCCCCCTCCACCCCACCCATGACAGTTTCAAGATCATCTAAGGTGTGTTTCTTTATAATCGGGTTGTGTGGAGTGTCTTTAACGTGTGTGCTCAGTTCCTTAAGAGCTTGGCTGGTTTCATTGATTTTGCCACCAGCATCATCTTCCTGGGGGAACAGGAGTTGCCTACAGACATCTGTCAGCCTGGAAATATTTCCCTATGACATAGCTCTGCCTTTCGGAATAAAAAGACGCTTCCAGTAAACAGGAACCACGAAGATCACTTTCATCAAACTTGTTCCCGTGCATTTTATTCTGAAATGGAAAGGGGGTGAGGGTGGATAGCCTGTAGTAGAGAGCTCTCCTTTCATCGTTCATTTTCTCAGCGAATTCTTATTAAGCACCTGGGATGTGCCAGAAGCAGTGCTGGGAGAGGGCGATGGGTGACAAAGGTGAGCCACCTCCCGAGGCAGGAACAGAGTCTGCTCTGTCCACTTGGTTCACAACACATTGTGCATTGGAGGGATCTGAGAGACAGCTAATAGCTCATTGAACAAAAGGAGCGTGTGTCCATTTGGAGGTTCAGACAGGCCAGCAGGTGCAGTGGAACTGATAGAACGCGTGTAGTTGTTGTGGGAGGAGAGCCCGGCCCAGTGTCCGTGAGTGGAGCAGCCAGCCGAGCAGCGGAGAGCAGTGATCAGCCCTGCGTGTCGGGGTGATCCCTCCGGGCTGGGCGTGGATTAGGTTGGATTTGTGTGGCACGGAGCTCGGGTGAGACGCAGAGGGCAATGAGGCAGGTCTGGGGCGGCTGAAGGTGGAAAGCAGTGGACTAGAGTTCGAAAGAAAGAGCTGTTTAAGAGGCTGCACTGAGAGGGATCTGGAAGGTGCTGATTGGTTAGTTGCGGAGGAAAGAGCACAGAATCAAAGGAGGGCCCCAAAGGTCTTCCCTTGGGAACTGGATGGGTGTCGTAACGTTTTCTGGCGGAGAGAACAGAACAGGAAGAGGAGCGGGCTGTCTGTGTGCATATGTGATGTGCATGTCTGTGCGTGTGCGTGCATGCGTGTGCGTGTGCGTGTGTGTGCGTGTGTGCATGCATGTGTGCGTGCATGTGTGCGTGTGCGCGTGTGTGCGTGTGTGTGCATGTGTGTGCGTGTGCGTGTGTGTGCATGTGTGCATGCATGTGTGCGTGCGTGTGTGCGCACGTGTGCGTGTGAGTACGTGTGTGCGTGTGTGCGTGTGTGTGCATGTGTGTGCGTGTGTGTGTGTAGGTGGTGGCGGCACAATAAGGTGTCTGGGACACTCAAGAGGAGGTGGTCAAAGAGTAACTGGCTGTGTGCGTCTGGAGCTAATTATTTTTTAATATATTTTCATTGGTTTCAGAGAGGAAGGAAGAGGGAGAGGGAGAGACAGAAACATCAATGATGAGAGAATCATTGATCAGCTGTCCCCTGCACACCCCCCACCGGGGATCAAGCCCGCAACCCAGGCACGTGCCCCTGACTGGAACCGAACCCAGGACCCTTCAGTCCGCAGGTCACGCTCTATCCACTGAGCCACACCAACCAGGGCTGGAGCCAATTATTAACATTTGAACATCATCAGAGCAGCGGTCGTTTATGCCGTCATAGTAGATGAAATAAAGAGAGGGATGTGTGGCGGGAGAAGAAAGCCAGGAAAAGGTGAACATTCAAGGGACAAACAAAGGACAAGGATTCCGAGTTGCTGGGAGAGCAGGCAGGAAAGCAGGCACACACAGCATCCGGAAGCAAGGGGAGTGCGTTCCATTGCGCTTGGAGCACATGGAGGGTGTGCTGGGGCCTCAAACGCAGCAGAGCCCTGGCACTGACTGAGAGACCTGGTCAGAGCCCCGCACCAGCCAGCTGGACCGCCCACAAATCCCGTACCCGTAGAAACCATGGACGCCGCTTATTAGTCCTCCAGGGCTGCCATACAGAATACCACAGGCTGGGTGCTTACTGCTCCCGGTCCTGGAGGCTGGCAGTCCAAGACCAAGGTGCTGGTGGGGCTGGTTTCTCCTGCGGCCTCTCGCCTGGGCTGCAGGTGGCCGTCTTGTCGCTGTGTCCTCACCGTCTTTCCTCCCTGACACACATCCCTGGTGTCTCTTCCTCCTCCTATAAGGACACCAGTCTTATTGGCTGAGGGCCCCACCCACATGACCTTATTTAACCTTAGTAACCTCTTCAGAGGCCCTGTCTCCAAATATAGTCACACTGGGGGTTGCGGCTTCACTATATAAATTTGGGAGGAGGACACAATTTAGCCCATACCAGATTATAAATTATTGTTGTTATCTTAAGCCACTGAGTATGGAGTGATTTGTTATTGTATCAAAAAAAATAACTAATACTTGCCCTGGCTGGTGTGGCTCAGTTGGTCAGAGTGTCGTCCCATACACCAAAAGGTGATGATTTGATTCCTTGTCGGGGCACATACCCAGGTTGTAGGCTCAATCCCCGGTTGGGGTGCGTTCAGGAGGCAGCCAATCAATGTTTCTCTCTCTCTCTCTCTTTCTCTCTCTCTCTCCCTCCCTCCCTCTCCCCTTTCCCCTCTCTAAGACCAATTAAAAATAAGAATAACTAGCACTTGTTTCATCATGTATGTGGGGAGGTGATGTAACTCAATGAATTCATGAACTTTGGTTTTTTTCTTAAACCTGACTCTTTCCA